TATTATAAGTCTGTAGTGTCATGCTAAAGTTCTTCGTTTTTCCACACACAAGACATCATTTCGATTCCAGAATGGGGAACACATTGCATCAACTATGCTCGTCGTTTTGATTGGGTGTTGCATCCCACAAGCAGCACCCTCCCCTCCCCTCTCGTCTCAAGTGATCTAAATAATGTCGATAAGGGCGTAAAACTTCTAATAATTACCATTTTAGGACAGTTTTAAAAATGGAATTTCTCAAGGGGCACACTTACAACACGTCCTGCATTTTTTTTCGAAAGTATAACATTTTATCTATGCTCAGTATTATTGACCTCATGTTCTTAATGTTCATTAGCGCTGTTTAAAATATTATTGTTTCTGTGTAAATGATACTTGTTAAAATGCACCAAAAACCCATGTGGCGTAATTGTTAGGTTCTTCAACAAATTTGTAAAATTCCTTCAGACGTCTCAAGTTCGGTACCAACATGATACGCTCATACTGTTTCGGCTCAACTCGCTCTATCTACATTACGTCGGCTGTGATGCCGTGTGCCGCTGAGCCCGAGTTAAGCCTTAAAAGGCCGGGTTGCAGAAATCTGCTTCTAAAATAGATCTGAACCGAGCCGATGTGGGCGTAAAACACTAGATCTAGTCACAATCGATAAAAATGTACTTACCACATGTTGTATAGAGCTGCTGTGACAGCTATTACGAACAATGTCCCCACGGTTATCACAGCGTACATCCAGATGTTAGGAGACTTCGCTGTGGGAGAGGAAGGGAACAGAAAATCATGTACAATACGTTATTTAAGAGACGACTTGATAATATGTATGTGACAGTAGGAAGGTAAAAAAAAAAAATGGTGGAAATGACATAGGTTTATCGCCCCTATCAACACTGTTAGGTTATTTCAGAGGCGGGACTTCCGAGTTTAACGTCCCTCTCCGAAATGACAGAGCTAAACAGGAATCTCATGTAAAGTGCCTTTCCCAAGGACACAACGTCGGACAGAGCTGTGACTCGAACACCCAAGCCCACAATCTCACCATTATGGCCTGGGTCGGTAGCCTAACCACTTGGCCACCGACGTCACTCTGAGGAAGCGGGGGAAACAAAATAATGCACAACACAGTGATGAAAGCGACTACAGAAATATTATTATCTGTGTGACAAAGAGAAAGGGAAGAGCAATATAAATGCAAATGGATAAAGAGTTACAGTTACCACAGTATATTATGTCCTGATGTTGGGACACTTTGCTGGGAAACAGGTGATGCACAATACTTTTCTATATGAGAGAGGGTAAGGGGAGAGCCAAAGAATTATATATAATCAAGATAAAGAGTTCTCTTGTAAAGTGTTTTACGGCGCTCGCAACTGCATAAGGTCATATGAGCGCGCAGGACACACCTAATATTTTCAGTTGGTAGGAAATTTTTGAATTTTGCCCGGGTGGCGGCC